CTTTCCCAAGACAGACGTGAGAGCTAGTAGATGGGAGATGTTAAGCAGAAGGTCAGACTAGTCTTTGGACAACACTGGCCGGGAAAATCATGCAAGTAGCTGAGGACAAAGAAGCACACCTTACGGCTTCCTGCCCCACCCACTCAGCCAGTGATGCAAACCATGCAAATGCATCTAGCATAAGGTTTCCTATTTGGTTGGAGATAAAGAATACACTAATAGCTGAGACTTCAGAGGGGGCAGATATGGGACAATACCTTACTTTGGATTAGATTTCTTTTCGCAACACACTAAAATTTCCTCATTCTGCCTAAATGCGTTCTCCAGAGTCCTTTATAAAGCCTCTACTCTCTCTCTCATACACAGATAACAGCTCACCTGTGCCATCCTACTGTGCCAGGCACATCCCGTTTTCCCTTTGAGCAACCCCCCCACTGACCCCACCCATCTGCTACTGCCCCTGAGGAAGGCCCTGCAGCCCCCTGAAGCCAGCTCTTGTCATTGCTCTCTGAGGCTTGTCTACAGGAACTGTAATTCCAAAGGCAGAATGTTAACATTTAAGGATATTGGGTTTCCTCCTACTTCTATAAATAAACCTGAAAAAATTATTTAAATAAAAAAAACCCTGATTATCAGTTTGACTTGAATGAGTTGGAAGGTTTATAAAATTATAGATATGAACTGGCTTTTGAAAATGTTGGGGGAGAATTAGTGATTTCTAGGCATTAGAACATATTTTGATTTTAGTACTCTTTATAAGATATCAAATTATCTCTTCATTAAGAAGATTTTACAATCCTGAAGGGGGCAAGTGCATGGCTTGATTTTGCTATTTACCCCCACCCACAACTCTGTGCACAGACAGGGGCCAGAGAAGGGGAAATAGCCAACCGCCTCTCACCAGCTTGGACAGCTGGCCCTGAGCCACAGTGAACTTGAAGGGTGGGTCCAGCACAAACAAGGTGATAAGTCCACTCTCCAGTCCTAGTTGGGAGTCCTGGAGAATAGGAGAAGGATGTGGAGGACTCCTGATTTCTTCTCTCCTGTACTCAAGGCAAGCTAGTCTATTAAGGAGACAGAAGAACCACAAGGGAAGGCCAATCTGAAGGTTGCAGACACAGATCTGAAGGAGGTCAGGGACCACTTGCTGAACAAGAGCATGTGCCCTTTGGTGCATGGGTGTGGACACAGGAGTAAATATCCCCTCCAGGACTTACCACGCAGCCCTCAGCACAGATTGTTAAGGGCTGAAAGAGCAGCAAAGTGTTCTCTGACAAATGTGTTTCTCAATGTAAATTTACACCAGTTCCAAAATCCCTTTCTACACTGGGGTTTCCTGCTTAAACCTTGAGGCCCATATTGTGGTGCTTCCTTTTTGAAATTAGGCCCCTCAGCTCATATAAAATAAATTTAACAAAAGTCAGCCCTGGAAGTCTGAGCCTTGGGCCAAGAAAACATCAAGAGATCCCTCCCCTGCTACCCCCACCCCCACCCCACCCACTTCTGGGAGAGTAGGTGCACCCAGAGCAGCTGACCTGGAGGGGTTGGAGGAGAGAGTAGTGAATTGAAGGTTGTCAAACCCTTCTCTCAAACCAGTGTCATCTGCATTAAGTCTTAACAGAAATTCCTTGAAATCTCTGGTACGTGGGTGGAATCCTTTTTTAGTTTATAACAATGACAGATTTTCCCCTATCATTATTTTCCTTTGGCTGTTTCAGTGAGAGTTTGAAAGAGAGGCAGGATGGCAAGTTCAATGTGAGGGCTTAAATGTCTGTCACAGAATGGAAGTCTGTCCTTACATTTTTCATAGTCCCTTTAGACAAGAGTTGCCCCCACCTTATAGACCTATGGACTGTATGATGCTCTCCTCTCATCATTAATCCTTCCTGTTTGGGGAGTAAAAGAACAGGTTCTCCTCTATCAGCTCTAGGCTCCCTTTTTGGACCCCTTATTAAAAATATTTTGAATATCCTGACTTTGTCTTTCTCTGTCTCATATCTTAACTTTCATCATTTTTTTCCTTTTCCTCTGAGCTTGGGAAGAATTTCTTGAATTGATCAGGCAGATTGACCCATCACTCAAAAATAAATAATTAAGGCCCCTTTGCTGCTCTCCATCTCTCTTTAATTTCTTCTTCCTCAACTCTTTTATATGTCTTTCTTGTCTCTCCTTTGCTTCTCTTGATCATCACTACCTTCTTTCCAACAACATTGTTACTTTTACCTGCCTAAGGATTTCCAGGCATTCGATGTAGGACTTTCCCCTCTGCACTCCTGAGAAGTCTGACAGCAATCTTCCAGTCTTCAGAATGCTGGCGGACAGCAGCAACGACAGAACTGAATGCATAGCTCTTCTGTCTCCAAGCCTGCCCGACGGAATGATCTGACATTAGCCATACAGAGTGTTCTGGGTACCTCTACTGCATCCTGGTCATCCAGGAAGCCATCCGAGAAGATAATATTAGTTGTAGCAGCCAGCTGGTAACTCTTGAGTCTTAGAGACTCCAACCAGTGCCTTGCTGCCTTGGAGCTACTTGCACCATCCATGGAACCATCAACCTGCAGATTTCAACACTGAGCTTTGGAGCCACCCTGGGATATCCCTTGGAAGGAAGGATTCAAGCTTAACATACAATTGCATTATTCTTTCCCAAGACAGACGTGAGAGCTAGTAGATGGGAGATGTTAAGCAGAAGGTCAGACTAGTCTTTGGACAACACTGGCCGGGAAAATCATGCAAGTAGCTGAGGACAAAGAAGCACACCTTACGGCTTCCTGCCCCACCCACTCAGCCAGTGATGCAAACCATGCAAATGCATCTAGCATAAGGTTTCCTATTTGGTTGGAGATAAAGAATACACTAATAGCTGAGACTTCAGAGGGGGCAGATATGGGACAATACCTTACTTTGGATTAGATTTCTTTTCGCAACACACTAAAATTTCCTCATTCTGCCTAAATGCGTTCTCCAGAGTCCTTTATAAAGCCTCTACTCTCTCTCTCATACACAGATAACAGCTCACCTGTGCCATCCTACTGTGCCAGGCACATCCCGTTTTCCCTTTGAGCAACCCCCCCACTGACCCCACCCATCTGCTACTGCCCCTGAGGAAGGCCCTGCAGCCCCCTGAAGCCAGCTCTTGTCATTGCTCTCTGAGGCTTGTCTACAGGAACTGTAATTCCAAAGGCAGAATGTTAACATTTAAGGATATTGGGTTTCCTCCTACTTCTATAAATAAACCTGAAAAAATTATTTAAATAAAAAAAACCCTGATTATCAGTTTGACTTGAATGAGTTGGAAGGTTTATAAAATTATAGATATGAACTGGCTTTTGAAAATGTTGGGGGAGAATTAGTGATTTCTAGGCATTAGAACATATTTTGATTTTAGTACTCTTTATAAGATATCAAATTATCTCTTCATTAAGAAGATTTTACAATCCTGAAGGGGGCAAGTGCATGGCTTGATTTTGCTATTTACCCCCACCCACAACTCTGTGCACAGACAGGGGCCAGAGAAGGGGAAATAGCCAACCGCCTCTCACCAGCTTGGACAGCTGGCCCTGAGCCACAGTGAACTTGAAGGGTGGGTCCAGCACAAACAAGGTGATAAGTCCACTCTCCAGTCCTAGTTGGGAGTCCTGGAGAATAGGAGAAGGATGTGGAGGACTCCTGATTTCTTCTCTCCTGTACTCAAGGCAAGCTAGTCTATTAAGGAGACAGAAGAACCACAAGGGAAGGCCAATCTGAAGGTTGCAGACACAGATCTGAAGGAGGTCAGGGACCACTTGCTGAACAAGAGCATGTGCCCTTTGGTGCATGGGTGTGGACACAGGAGTAAATATCCCCTCCAGGACTTACCACGCAGCCCTCAGCACAGATTGTTAAGGGCTGAAAGAGCAGCAAAGTGTTCTCTGACAAATGTGTTTCTCAATGTAAATTTACACCAGTTCCAAAATCCCTTTCTACACTGGGGTTTCCTGCTTAAACCTTGAGGCCCATATTGTGGTGCTTCCTTTTTGAAATTAGGCCCCTCAGCTCATATAAAATAAATTCAACAAAAGTCAGCCCTGGAAGTCTGAGCCTTGGGCCAAGAAAACATCAAGAGATCCCTCCCCTGCTACCCCCACCCCCACCCCACCCACTTCTGGGAGAGTAGGTGCACCCAGAGCAGCTGACCTGGAGGGGTTGGAGGAGAGAGTCCCCGAGTGCAAGGTATCTATCTGGGGAATCACCCCGGCCACCGCCACCCAGGGGTATAAAATGTCCCCTATGGGGGGTTCCCAGGGAACCTGTGGATGGTCTCCAAGGAACCTATGATTCTTCTCTGCCCAGAATGTCTTCCTCCTGGCCCCTCCATTTCCCCAATTTCAGCATCAGGGGTCAGCTCTAAGGCCACAAATCCTGAAAGGGCTAACCCACCCAAATCCAGAGATGGCTCCATGCCCCAACCACCTCTCTCGGGGCACCCTTGGCTCCATGCCACCTGTGCTGTTCCTGGCCTCAGCTGCCTGTGGTGGGGTGGGTTGGGATGGGCTGTGGGTCGGTGGAGGATAACCAAGTGCCCCATAGACAGAGACCCATCTCTACTAGCAGTCCCAGGCCAGATGTACAAAGGCTTGCTGACCTGAACAGTTTGCCCACCTGGGAAGGTGGGGTGGCTGTGCTCGGGTGGCAGGCGTCCCTAGAATAGTGTTCTCTGGGATAATAAGGGCGCAGGTGGGAACATCTTTTCTAGATTCTGGGAGACACTTTGCATGGGCCAAGTCTTAGCAGACGGCCAGCGAAACTTGCAGGTTCCATTCTGGGCCGCGTCGCAGCCCCTCGTCCGGGACAGCAGCTGCCGTGGGCACCGGCGACGAACGGCCGTGCAGCTCCACTCCGCCGCCCAGAGCCTGGAAGCGGCCACTGCGCAGGACGCCCCGGCTCCGCAGCGGTGCCAGACGCTTCCTGCCTTTTCCTGGGCCTGGGTGCTGGGCTCTAGAGGCTGGGCTCGGAGGTTCCCCGGTCGCTCCGCCCCGCCGCCCGCGCTCTGCACAGTGCGCGCCGCGTGCCCGCCTCCCGCCACAACCCCCCACCCGCTGTGCCCTTAGGGGGGCACCCCCACTGGGGCGGGAGGATGGTCCGCCGTGCCCCGGTCGCCGAGTGACGGAGAGGTGACGGTAGCCGCCTTCCCATTTCCGCCCGGCCCGCAGCGCGGCAGGGTGAGTGCCAGCGGAGGCGCTCGGTCCTGCCTCCGCCCTCCCGCGCCGGGGGCTGGCCTTGCCTCGCCGGCGCCTTTTTCCCCCCGCACCGCGGCGCCGCTTCGCCACTCGGGCACCGCAGGTAGGGCAGGAGGCTGGAGTTCCTGCTGCCCGCCGCCCGTAAAATGGTCACCTCGGCTGGACAGCTCGCCGCGTTCGCTCTGGGTATGTACTGCGGCGCGCCCTGAGCCACCTGCCTTCTGCGGCACCCCGCTTTCTCCTGTCCCTTCCATTTCTCTTTCCCGGGGATTGTCTGCGCCTGCTGAAGAGAGTGGAGGGAGGCTATTGCTTTTCCAGGGTTGAAGGCTGGGAGGCAAGGGGAGTCGATAGGGCTTACCAGGGATTTGGGGAACCCGTTGCAAAGTGGGGGACCGTCGAGCGCCCAGGCACTCCTCGGGAAGTGGCCACCTGGGCCGTGCGTGAGAACGCCCGCCCGGGAAGGGGAAGCAGAGTACGAGCTTGAACTTTAATCCGCCGCGGCTCTGTGCTCGTACGCTTGCCCGCACCTACCTGCTTAGCTGGCCGCCTCCAACCAAGCCCGTCTTCACCGGCGTCGGTAGCGTGTAGAGTTGGAGAGGGTGGTGGGCGTTTGACCCTCCGCAGGACCTTGCCTGTTCCCCTTTCGAACCTCCTGTCCACCCCTGAACCCCAGCGACCGGCAGATGTTCACGATCAGCAGGGGCGCCTTCAACTTCTAACTTTAAGAGCTCTAGAGCTTTGGGGTAGGTTTTGGATTTTTGTGCGGATTAATTGTTCTTTTAATTAACTTCCCTGGGAGAAGCGGTTTAAGTGTCAGCCGAGGACAGGAGTGAAATCCTAGACCGAGCGTTACCAATTTCCTTTGAGTTTGTTCTTGGTGGGGAATGACGGACGGGGCAAGGGAGGGGAAGGTAAACCCAGCAAACCTGGGTCGGGTCAGCCGGCCAGTCTTTTTCAGCGGTGAAGTTCGCTGGTCTGTCTGTAAGCGGTAGGGTGCAGCGCTGCGCTGCCTGGCGGGCGCGCACCGCTCGCGGTGCCGGGTCTCTGTGATGTTGAGATAGCAGATTAACAGCCCAGGTGTCCTAGTTATTGCAGTAGCTTCCGTGAAATGAACTGTTCAGTCGACAGTTTTCCCGAGTTTTCCCCCGCACCGCGGCGCCTGTTGCTTGCTACAGGATCATTTATTAGACCTTTGGAAAAGCCATGGAAACCTCCCCCCAACGATGCCCAGAGCCACAGCGTCACCCAATTCGGTGTACGGTTTCAGGGGGTTCATGGGCCCGCCTGTAATCTGCCTATGAAACACTGATTAAAAACGGCCGCAGAAGGAGAGCATCATCTAAGGGGAAATACAGAGCAGTAGTGGAACCGGATGCTCGGAGCTGTACCCCCACCAGAAACTTACCAACAGGTGGCATAATTACAGACGACTTTTTTCCCCCTTTTCCAAGATCTTTTTATTTTTTTTTGGATAGACAATTGTTCTGATTTTAGATCTTTTGTAAACAATAGAATACAGTAGAAGCATCCTGTTTGTGGGTTCCTATTGTAATGCTTTTGCAAATACTAGTAGTAATAATAATAGCTAACGCTATTTGAACACTTTCCCTGTGCCAGGCGCTGTTCTGAGCACTTTACATGTATTAACTCGTTTAATTTTCCTGATGAGGAGGTATTATCATCACCATTTTATAGAGGAGGAAAGTGAAACACCCAGGGCCCACAGTTATTAAGTAGTTGAGCCAGGATTATTATAGTGTGGAAGGAATGTGGGTATGAAAAGTCACCTGTGGTCACTACAGTCCCATCTCCCAGATTTGGGACTTCCTCTTGAGAGAAGATTATGTGTAATTCCTAGGAACTTGCTGCTAAATTAGGTTTTCTGTCAGATTCCTAGTGTCTCCAGGTGGTCTTAGGTTATTCAGTGAAAGTCAGAGGGAGGAAAGCCTTTGGAAGTTGCCCCCACTGTAAGTTGGTCCACAGTATGCTTCCCATGAAGACTGCATTCATTCATCATGTAATTTTTCTCTATTGACTAAGAGTTCAACTTTATCTTTGTTTCCTTCCTTAAGAAAAAGATGTATAAACTTTAAAAGATTGATCAGTATGTAAAACCTGGCTCATACAATTCCAAAATAGAGCAGTTGAGAAAAAAGTAGAGGAGAAGGAGGGCATGAGTAATTTACACCAGTAACGATTCCTTTTTATTTATTTCTTTTTTTAAAAAAAAATATTAGTTATGAGATGGTAAGTATGGGAGCAACTTATGAACTATAAACTATATGACTATCATGTCTGCCTCCCCCCTCACTTTCTGCTGGATTATTAAATATTACTCATCAGTGCCACATGTATCTTTAATTTGTACAGTTCCTCTACAGCTGCTTTTCTCTCTAGTTTTTCTTAAATTAGTTGAAGGCAATTCCAGGCAAATCAGCCAGTGTTCCATCATTCACCAAGATCTAGAAAACTGGGATCTCTTCCCTTCTTCCTGGGGGCAGTCTGAGAAGGAACTGGCTGTTAGGAGGCTCTGTTGATGCTTCTGATTACTTGGAAGCAGAGAGTTGATTGATGTTTTGGCCGAGAGAGAGTGTGGAGACTGTTACAACATTGGAAACATAATCCAGGTTCCTGTGGTGGCTGCCCTCCCATGTCAGGTTTCCGCAGTTGGCTTGACACCTCCAGTCCTACATCCTCCTCTGTGTCCAGGGAGCAAGATGTGTAATCTGGGCAAGTTATTGAGCTTCTCTGTGCCTTGTTTTTCTCATCTGTAAAATAGTGACATTAATAAGATTGTTGAACATATTTAATGAATATAGCATGATGCTTGCATGTAGCAAGAGTTTAATTCATCTTAGTGCCATCATCATCATCATCATTGCTGTTGTTACTTTGAACCCCATAGAATTCCAGATATCACTGCAAGTTATGTCAGTTCTCTTAACTGGAAGAGTTTGTCTGTCTTATTTATCTCATCTCCCAGCTTCTAAGTATTTTCCTAAATCAGAAAATACCACCCAGCTTAAAAACCTACTTAATGATTTTAGTGAATATCGTTTGGCAGATGACAAGTTCAAGCAAGTTTGGGGGTTCTCTTGGACATTGTGAATTCTTTCATTTTTGATACATTTGTATTTCCTCAACATTCAATGGTTGGTTGTTTACTGAAGTCAGCACTAAATCTGTTTTCTCATCTGTAAAGTGGGAATAATAAAACTGTGCCCATCTTACAGGTTGTTTAAGAATCAAATGAGATGCCCCCTGTTTTGAGAGGAATCTTCTGCATCCGTGGATGTTTTGTTGCACTTGTCTAGCTTGGATTAGTACTTAGTCTATAGGCACACACCTGATCATCTACATTTGCCCTCTTACAGTACTAAATTATGTTTTCTACCTTTATCTTGCATCTACCTACCACTTCAGCATTTTATTTAAAAAATAATAATAATAATAAGGGAGAAACTGGGATTCACATATGAATCAAGTATAAAAATCAAACAAATAATCATGTCTGACTTGATTGTTTATAATTCATGATGCATGATCAAAACCGAAAGTTTCTGTGATATGACTGTCCTTGCACTGTTCACCATGTAAGAACTTATTCACTATGTAAGAACTTGTTCACCATGTAAGAACTTGTTCGTTATGCTTCAGAAGATTGGAGACTGTTGAGAATTAGGCGTGGGGTTGATTAATGATTGTGCATTGAGTCCCCTGTACAGAATTTTATTGTTGTTAGCAACCATTTGATCAATAAATATGAGAGATGCCCTCCCAAAAAAAAAAGAATCAAATGAGATGGTAAATGTGGAAGCAATTTATAGACTATAAGAATAAAGGGACACATACACAATGAAATTGATTTTATAATACAGAACTGGGTTTTATAATCCAGAAATAAACATTGTTATTTTTATGGCAACTTTGAGATGTAGGACTGAATTGAGACCTAAAGAAGGACAATCTAGGACATAAAGTGTCATTAAGGATGGGTGGGGATGAAACAGGTCAGCTTCCCTGTGGATTCTGGACTGAGGAACCAGTAAGGGGCATGACGTAAGCTGGTTCTCTTCTCCATTACATGGATGATGTCTTCCAGAGTAGACAGTGGAGGTTTACCCAGGACACATGTTTGCCTTCTTGGGCAGCCATAATTAGGGAAAGTTCACTTAGAATATGGGCTGTAAAGGTGTATATGTAAGCCTTAGAGTCTGTGTTTCCCATATTTGCTTTTCTAAATTTTGGTTTCCTAGGATAAAATGATATTTCTGTAAATACTCAGTGTCCTCTGCAAAGGGAACCTTTCTTATAGGAGTAAACGATGCTTTGTGTTGCCATGGTAACATACAAAAAAATAGCTGCCTTTTCCATTAGACCTATCTCTAAAGGCCTTTTCAAAATGTGTTTGAACAAGGTGCCACTCTTTGGGCCACCCGCTAAAAGGGAAAGGCAATGGCAAGCAGAGGTTAGGTCAACTAAAATGGGATTAGCCTGACACTGAATTAGACATCTCGTGCTTGGTTTCACACACAAAACCCCTCGAGTATCTTCTACAGCAATGCCTTCAAATCACAACCTCCCACCCCCCGGAGAGTTTGGTTAAACCAGATTGCCTGGCAGGAGGTGGGAGAGTTTGTGCATCTAACAAGTTCCCAGGTGTGGCTTATGCTGCTGGTCGGGAGGGAGGGGTGGAAGGGAACATGGGGAAGCACTGTCCTTCAGTCAGTTGCTGTTAGGGAAGCTTCTGGCTTAAGCAATTGCATATTATTTAAAGTACATTCTGACATTTATAAATGCCTCTGTGAATTTATGACCAATTATTATAGGCACTTCTACAGCCTGTCTTGCTGACCAGGGCAGAGTTGGAACTCTTGCTGAGATCCTTAATTGTTTTAAGTGTTCTTGTAGTTTATACATGGAAATTTAATGATCCCATGTTATTAGATGTAAGCTGACCAATTCTAATCATGTCACACTTTCTTTTTTCGGATTGCCATTGCAAATATTTTTAATCACTTCATTTTTAAATACGAGGTTTACTCTATGCAAAAGGCTAATATATTTCAGATTGCATATAGACAGAGGACTAGGGTACTTTTATGGTAACATTTGTTTTCATTTTGCCTTTTTTTTAATTCCTGTGACATGTCAAGTATAAAAACATTTCATAGAATCAGGAAAGC